TCAGAAAAATACATCCGGGCATAGGATGTGGAAAGATCTGTTTATGAGTGTTTGAAATTTAGTCTTGTAAACAGGGGAGAGTTTTTTGTATATTGTCCTGAAATAGTGGAAATATAATTTTTCTCTCATATATATTCTTCTTGTGTTTGTTATCTCATTTTTTGGTGTTCTCAATATTTTTCGGTATCTTACGCACTTAAAATTCCAAAAATTGGTATCAGAGCTTGGTTGGGCTAGGCAGGAGGGATTTGTAAGCGGTAAAAGGAGAAATTTTGAGAACCCAGGGACTGGTCAGTTTTGGCCAGAAGGCGACCATGGGACTTCAGGAACAAAGTGGATGGAATGAGGACCGGGTACGAAGCTGTAACACCCTAATCCGTCCAGGTCTGCAGCCCCTTTCGGACTAAAGTATTTAACTTGGTAATCGTAAAAATTTAAAACTTTTCAAACACTTTTATTTATCACAATAATATTTTTCATAACACATACAGTACGGAGTATTCAACAATATTGCGGAAGCGAATTTAATTTTGACATATCATAAATCATTTCAAACTTGTCACATCCATCCCGACAATCTCGCCCCATCTGCCGCCAGGATCACATTAATCTTTCTGTTTACCTGCGTGTAGNAATCCGTCCAGGTCTGCAGCCCCTTTCGGACTAAAGTATTTAACTTGGTAATCGTAAAAATTTAAAACTTTTCAAACACTTTTATTTATCACAATAATATTTTTCATAACACATACAGTACGGAGTATTCAACAATATTGCGGAAGCGAATTTAATTTTGACATATCATAAATCATTTCAAACTTGTCACATCCATCCCGACAATCTCGCCCCATCTGCCGCCAGGATCACATTAATCTTTCTGTTTACCTGCGTGTAGTAAATAAAACACACTACACGCTCAGCGGTAAAGCTGAGTAAGCATATCTAATGCGTCGAACATCCATATAAACTGAATCTAAATTCATAATCAAATCTTTTGATATCATGCACACAATGTTTGTTTTAGACATTCACAGTTTTGGTATTGTTCAATTCATATCAACACATTTTATTCAATTAAGATATTATTTCAATAGTGCTCTTAAATTATTCTTAATCTAAGGCCAGATCATAACAACGCTCTTAGCTATTCTTAGTCTAAGGCCAGATCATAATAATGTTCTTAGCTATTCTTAGTCTAAGGCCAAATCATAATAATGCTCTTAGCTATTCTTAGTCTAAGGCCAAATCATAACTTCCATAACGAGGTTCTTTTAAGGCAATTATTGATCAAACACTTAAACTATCATTAGTTTAAGGCAATTGATTTCAGACACTTAACTATAGTCAATTAAGACAATCAGACACTTAAACTATCACTAGTTTAAGGAAAACGATTCGGACACTTAACTGTAGTCGGTTAAGGCAACAAGAATATAGAAATTGATCAACATTGGATCAGACATTCCCAAACGAGTAATCCTCTAGTTTGGTCTACGAATCCCGTTTATACATTTTTATCTAATTCATCAAATATTCATGTTTTCTAATGTCTATTCTAATACAAGATCTATTCTAGAGGTCTTCTAGATAGCCTTAACATCAATTAACTAATGGATATATTTTAGAGTTCTACTAGATACCGTTAACAATACAAATCATTTAATAGTTATTAATATATTCATTTTACTCATGGCTCAATCATAAATAATAATTTTAATAAGTAAGTTCATCATTCATAATCATCCATAATAATCATTTATCATAATCATCAATCAACATATCAATTGGTAACAAATAACGGTCTAGTTTTGAGTGTTAACACCCGAACTTACCGTCATGCATCACATAACATTTTTATTTGTTAAAAACATCATTTTTATTGTAAAGAATCATCCTTAAAATAATCATAATAAATTGGTATCAAAAATAGGATTTTAGAGCTCAAAAATAGCAATTTCGGGCAAAGTGAAAAACTTTCGGCTTATGATACTCTGTGAAGATCCTAAAGTGTTACAATGGCTCGAGGATATATTGAATAATGTAGAAACCTTATGTAAACAAGAAATTATCTTTCGATTTGTAAAGTATGGTGCAAGAACAGCACTTGAGGAGACCGGTGGTCTAGCAGAGTGAAAAACTGCGGCTTATGTCTTGTGTCGAAAGTCTTCCCGGCAAGAAGAGGTCGGGTGGTGTGTCTCGCAGGTGTTGCTGCGGTGGTGCAAGATGGGCGGATCGAAAGAAGTTCATTGCTAGATGGGATGGTCTTAGAGAGTGTTAACAAAGGTGACTTGTCATGTTTTTAGCTCGGGGTGGAGGGTTAAAACTCTAATGAGCTAAGGTAGTGGCGGTGATTTTGATGGGTTGGTTGAGCCACAGGTACAACGATAACTGGAAATGGTGAGGACCATGTCGTATTGAGCAAGGTGAGGCCACGACCATGAGTCAACACATGGTGGCGGAAAGCTTGCGGTATTGAGCAAGATACGGTCATGAAAAAATTTTCAATGTGGTAGTGATCTTGGTTGTTGGACCAAGGTGGAGCCACGAGGATTTTTTTTTTAGGTTGGCAGTGGTGATCTCGGTGTAGCAGATCGAGATGGAGCCAACGATATTTTTTTCTCTCACGGTAGCAGTGATCTCGATGGAGCTACAAAGGTTCTTGATTATTTAATCAAGGTGGAGTTTGTTGGGAAATATTGATTAAATATTCAAAAAGAAAGAAAAAAAGAAAAGAAAAGAAAAGAAAAGAAAAGAAAAGGAGTAGTGGCATGGATTTGGACGTAAAACATGCACATGGAGAGTCCTTTTTTGGTTTTGTTTCTATCTCTTTGGATTGGTACAAATGCATTGCATCTCCTGGGTACATTACATATAGTTGAGTGAGTATTATTTGAAGCTTAAGGGAATTGAGCTGCTTTAAAAGGAGTGACACTCAACCTAGATGTGTGTGTGGGTTTTACACACCACGAAGGTAGAGAGAGAAACATGGGTGGAATTCTATTCAAGAATACCACCGGGAAAATCCAAGGGGTCTTGGTGAGTGTGGGTGCGTGTAAGGAGTAACTGATTTTAGTTACTCGAAAAAATACATCCGAGCATAGGATGTGGAAAGATCTACTTATGAGTGTGTGAAATTTAGTCTTGTAAACAGGGGAGAGGTTTTTGTATATTGTCCTGAAATAGTGGAAATATAATTTTTCTCTCATATATTCTTCTTGTGTTTGTTCTCTTTTTTTTGGTGTTCTCAATATTTTTCGGTATCTTACGCGCTTAAAATCTCAACAACTCCTTGGGAACAAGATATGATTCCAGAGTACAAATAGTTTTGAAAGATCAAGATGGAGACAAGCCCAAAGAGAACTCCCCTAGGACACGCTGGCCGCGAGCTTGAATCTTATTTCGTCCACTCAGGACCAAGACCAACTGCAAGATGTGGAGGCACTGGCTCAAGGAGGTGTTTTTGAGAGGCTCCGGATCCTGTCCCGAGACTGAATGAGAACAAACCCACAGGCTACCCTGGTCATGAACTTACGACCCCTAAGAAGTAGGGCGAAGCCTTTGGTTCGGATTCAGGGGAGTCGGCAGGTGCCTGTGGTACAAGACAATAATGGGTGCCTGTGGTACAAGACAATAATGAAGCTCAAAGTTCCCCACACATCCGGTAAGTGAATGCTTAGGCCCTTTGGAAGAAGGCAACATGTAGGTGCTGGTGGAAAAGATGACGCCATAAGGTACGTTCTGCCAATAAATGGAGAGGATGCAATGGCGAATAGATGCTCCAATAGGACAAAGGGCAAGGTTTCAAACAGAGACCCCTTCTTAGAGGCAATCATGGCTTTTCCCTACCCACCTAATTTCAAGGTCTAGTCGATACAGAGGTAGAATGGGAAGATAGTTCCCGACGAACAGACGCCATGCTGTATTTTGATGTTATGATAGCAATGGGGGTCGCGAATGAGCTAATTTGCCAATGTTTCCTCTAGGTCGTGGATAGCAGTGTCTAAAATTGGTTAGGGTCCCTTCCAGCCAGAAGCATAGGTTCGTTGAGCAACCTCCCCACGAAGTGCGTGGAGTAGTTTGTGGGGAGTTGGTAGACATGGGAAGCTCTGTGTGAATGTGATGCATTTGGACACATTTAGAGCACCGCTCTGAAGAGAAGAGAGATGCAACCCATCCATACCCCGTTAATAGAATTTACTAGGGATTCAATCAAGGCCGACGTGGGACCTCGAATCGATTGGATATATTATCAAACACAAGGTTGATGCCAGGCCTAGGCACACGTAGATGTTTATTCTTTGTGCACTATATTGTATTTTTCCTTTAAGCCATTGGGTGCGGTTGTGTATCCTCGACCCACCACCTCTACTGCTCACTGGTGCTGATGCCAGCTCGTCCCGATGCCCTCCGCGATCCCCACACAGTACACTTTGACACTATTCTCTTAAGTCGAGTTCTTTCTTGTCCTGACCCCACTTGTTAAGAAACTTCTATGAAACCACGCATTGATCCTGTTCTATCTTCTTGCGTCAAGGGATTCCGAGAGAGTATGTTCTTCAATGTAAATATTTATCTTCAATAACTTTCTTTCGGATGATAATTCCATAATATGGCCAAAATGAGATTTCAAGCTTGATTGCACGAATGCAATCCTTGGATGTATATAACCCAAGTGTATTCCTCTGATAAAACGCATAGCCAATAGGGATGTGAATTTGAATGAAGCCATGGCAGGAGCTTAATTTACCCGGAACATGAGAAGCAAACGATTCAAAAAAAGCAAGAGGGTTTTCAGCTCGTGTATTCATTGTGCTTACAAGTTAACCAAAATTATACAATGATATATATATATGTGTGTGTGTGTGTGTATTGCCATAGCTTAGCTTAACAAATTCAGGTGCGAACTGAATAAGTAGTCGGTGGTCAGGGAAGAAAGAAAAATCTTCATAAAAAAATGGAAATAAATAAACATCAAGTGTATGGCTTCAACAGAGACATCACCAATATGATTAACAATCTTATTTCTCATCATCATCATCATCATCGTCCACTCTGCTCATTTGCTTTCAGTGGTGTGTCAGCTACTCAAGATCTAAGCTCTTTTTCATTTTTTCATAAACAAGATATGTAATGCTTGCTGCCGGTACCACTTTTAGAAGATTGGGAAAGAGTCCTTTGTAAAAGCCCCTGACTCCTTCGTGCCTAAACGTTCTCAAGAACACATCACGCATTCCGTTGTATGGAGTATTTGCATGCATTGGTTGTGCTTGCATTCTAAGGAGATGCACAAATCAGGTTAGTAGAGGGACGTACAACACACACATATATACTCATATAAGTGTGAATGAAAGTCGTACAAGATCAGGAATGCTGGTGTGGGTTTTTTACCTGGTTCTAATAACCTGCAACGGGTAAACACATGTTGCTCCTAGGGCTCCTGATATTGTCCCACAGCCCAGTTGCACGAGAGGACCAGGTTCTGCATTTATTCACATTTCTTCTGACAAGAGAAATCTTTGAAATATATTGTTGTAGAAATGAGGCATAGTGTGAAGTCCTTACCATCATTGTGGAGAATGTATGTCCTTGATAAGTCTTTCAAAGTCTCATATGCAGCCAGATCAATGCCTGCATATGGAATCATCCCAAGAATAGAGGGCACAAGTCCTCTGTAAAACGCCCGGGGACCCTCATGAAGCCAAATATCTTTGGATAACTGTCCCAAGTTTGGGGCCTTCCCACCTTCACACGCAAAAGTCTGTAACCGGGTTTTCACAAGATCCATTGGATAAATAGCAGCTTGTGCTACTGCCCCAGCCATTCCACCAGCAACAAGCCTCCCGGAGGTTCCTATATCACCCTGTTCCCCTCCCTTGGCGCTTACAATCGCATTCTTCAGCATTTCATATGCATAAAACTTTATGGCACTCTCAGGAGCAACCTTTAAAACGTTTAATCCATTTCCCCGAAAAAAACCAAAAACCCCACTATCCTTCCATATGGTTTTTATTACATTTATGCTGGAAGCACGTGTGGTCTGAACTTGTAAGGCAACTTTAAGACGGTCCAATGGAGCAGTTGCTGTACGTGAAGCAGCGCCTGCAACTCCCCCAGCAAGCAAATATTTAGTCGCATGGACATGCCTGCTGATTCCTTCCGGAATCACAGCTTGTTCACCAATATCTACCAAGCACACCCTCTCCAAGTATTTGTATATGTTTTCAATGGTGGCTTCGTGCGGGTAGAGTAGAAGAAAATCCCTCCATTCTTCAAAAGTTATAATGCCATTATTGTCCTTGTCAACTCTCTCCACAAATCGTGCAAGCTCATCATCATCAATTTCAATCCCTGCAAAAGTGAACTGTCATACCTTATAAGAGATCATAATGACTTCAACAGAAAAATGTACATTTACATTGAATCTAGAGAAGGAACTTATGCATGCACAGGCACATAGTTTATAAAACAAAAGAATCAAGTTAGTTTAACAAAAAGATACATGTACCTTTCCTCTCACCTCAACCAATAGAAATGATTTTCATCTACAATAGAAACTGTCAGGTTAGACTCAAGCCACTTTCCGTTTTGCCCAAACATCAATAGAAAAGCACGCTTACAAAGAACTCGTCAACGCCTTTCGTTAGAAGTGGTGTCATACAGCAGTGTCAAGTCCCAAGGGTTTAAAAAGTGCATTTCAAAAGCTCCAATTTGGAACATAGGAATTTAGTCATCAAAAAATGATTTCGAAGTAAAAGAGACTCAAGTATATAACCTTCAGGTTTTAGATTTACTAGAAGGGATTTTGGGCCTTCAAAAGTGAAAAATGGCATCCTAAAGGCATGGTAGTCAATCATACTTCGCAATCATAACAAACTTATTCACTAATTACTGAGTACTTCTCAAGACTCGAGAGTAGGGTTGGGGTTGAGATGACCGGATGCTGTTTGCTGCGAAAATTCACCCAGATAAAGAAAACTTCAGGGAGTTTTAAAAGAGGCTAAAATTAGAAAATCATACTTAGGCACTTAGCTACCAAAGAGATGACTAGTTTTAAGTTTTAAGAATCTCCAAACATAGCTAACAGCTTAAGTACATTATTGTAGTTATGGGAATGAAACAGTGCCAAAAAGATGTGTATTCAAGCAATACAAGAATACGGTATATCCTGAATGGAACGAATTCTTATAAATCTAGAATGAGGGGCATTCAATGACTGGAAAGTAGTGCTGAATTTTGATCATAATAAACAGTATATGATACAAACATAGAGCCAGCAATCGGGCAACTCCGAAATCTGAAACATCGAAATGTCTCCAGTAATAAATAAGTCAAATTACCAGCCTTCACTAGGGCATCCCAGAGCTCTTCGGGCAATATGCAGCCGTTGTGCTCTACATCAATGGCTTGGAAGATTCGATACAGCTCTAGCTCCTTATCATCCATATATTTCCTGAACTCCTGATAATCCACCCTCCCATCCTTGTCGGCGTCGACCACCCTTAGCAGCTCCTTGGCAAACTTGTAGTCTGCCGGGATTTGCATAGCGGACAAGCCCTTCTCAATTTGGGTATAACCCAAGTACCCAGCATTGTCGGAATCAAAGAAACTGAACAGGCTCCTGATTCTGAGATCCCTCTCGTCCTTGCTCTCCCCCAGAGCTGACAAGACGTGGTCCATGGAGACAGGCCCGGGTTTCCTAACAGGGTTGCAGCAACTGCGCCGGTCTTTCTCAGCCATCGCCGGAAAATTCACATGCCCCACGACCTCTCCAGCGCCAGACATGCTCATCGGAATTCCGGGACCTTCAATACATGGGATAGAAAAATGGGCAGCTTTCTAACGCTTCTCCGATCGAACACAATTAAACGGTTTAGCGAATCGAGTCGATGCACGCCAATTGATCCGCAGTGTCTTCTGGTGAATTGGAGATGAAGGCGAATTGGCGATGCAGAAGAGAATCAAGAGATAGATGGGAATACAATATAATGATGCTGCGGAGGATCTTCTTGCAAGAAGATCCGATGAGGAGTTGATCCGGTTCGGTAAAAAGTGCGATTTGGACCTAATCGGGTTGACGGGTCAGAAATGGAATGGTAAAAAAACGTGAAGTAAAAAAGTCAATGCTCTCTGTGTATGGCCGAGTGGCCGACCATGAAGGAGTCTGTGGTTGGAAAGTAGAAAGAAGAATCTACCATGGCCGGCGGAAATCTGGTTCCCGGAGGTGGGGAGAGCTGACCGGCGGTTACGGATAGTAGGCACACGAGGTTTGGGGGACCTTAATTCTAAGCTGGACCTAGTCCAAAGTTTTTTCTCACTTTTTTTAACTTCTAAAAATACTTATTTCACCACTTAAAAATGCTTATTTTGCATTTGTAATAATTTGGCTTAGATAGTTGTTAAAAATATCAAACTTGCACAAATCAGGGGCACTTTAAAAAAGTACCCTAAAAAAACTCTCTAATAAGAATGTCTAAAAAAGACTATATATTATGAGACTATCGTTTATCTATCCTCACTTAAAAACAAAATGATATTTTCAAATTTTCGAGTGAGTTCAAAGAGCTAATGTAACAACCCAGCCCGTGTCACCCGAACCATCAAATTAGCAAACCGGGTTGCTACTAAATTGACATCAAACACATCTTATTTCCAAAACAATTTAAAACATTCAATTAAAATATTATTTAAAACATCCATCAGAGTTGATGGTGAAAATACCGTGCAAATATTAAATATAAATAAGCGGAAGGGCTGTAGGTGGGAATACCTGTAACCCGGTTTGTTATTAATGATAGTAGGACTGTTTACAAAGTACAAGCCGTGTAAGTTAATTAAAGCGTGCCCTACAAATGAGGCTTTTAGTCCTATTTATAATATTCTCTAAGCACGTCAAGCACGTCGTTGTTCATCCGGTCGGTCAGTCCTTAACCGATCAGTTTGTATGCCTTCGCCAGACGAAGCCATGTCTGTGATTTCAGATCTTCTCACCCCTGACCGGCCAGACTGCCCGGGTCGAACGGGTCATTGGGCGTTGGATTTCATACCTCCCGGTCGGTACGAACCTACTGGGTGGAATCCATGGGTTATTACCCATCAAGGAGTCCTCCGATTCCCGGCTCTGTGGGTACCATCAGCGGCGGGAAGCATATGCGAGCTTCTTTTCAAATTTCAATTTCCCGAGCGGTTTTGGCGGGAAAATGGCACTTGTAAACCGGCGCCAAAATAAATATATTTGAATTTTGAATTTCGAAATCCCGGGCGTCAAACGCAGGGGAATCTTTTTTGGTATCCGGTACGGCGCCGCCGATTTGTCGCACCGTTTCGCCTTTCTGAGAAGTTATCATTACGAATCATTTCGGCTGCCATGTGTCGCTCCCCTATTTGTTCGGCTGGGCGGCAACTCCCCTATATAAAGCGAGGCTCCCCACCGAATTTTCTCACTTATTTGTTCGGCCCGGTCTGTGGAAGAGGGCTTCATTCTGTTGGATGACCAGTTGCTCTTGGAGAAATAGTCATACATGCAGAAGGCTCAAGTCCACGAGCTGCGCAACCTGATGCCTGATGGTTACCAGTTGTCCTACCGGGCCACGTGGAAGAATATTATATCTCTCCACGCCGGTACGACAATCGGTATCCACTACCACTCCATCAAGGACTTGGGTGAATTCTCCATTCACCCCTTCAAAGTCCTTTTCTTCGAAACCTGCGGGATCATGCCCGGGCAGTTGGCCCCAAATGGTCACCGTATGTTGAGTAGTTTCATCAACGTTTGTTGCTTTCTTCGCATCCCTCTTTCCCTTCGCCTTTTTGACCACATGTTTGACGTCCGGCCCGGGTTCAAGGAAACCCTTGGATTTGTGATCGTGTCCTCTCACCAGGGCCGGACATTCCTTTCCAATCTTCCTCTTTCCAACAGGGGTTGGAAGGACAAATATGTTTCTATCAAATTTCCCCCGGGTGCTTTCCCTTTTGCCCAAAATGCCTGGGGGAAAAGAATGAAAGTCCAGGTCAAGCCTAGAGAGACTGATGACCTGGAAGCCACTCTCCGAACCGGGGACACCTCCACCCGTGGTCCTTATAACGTCGGGAAGTGGGGGGTCTACCCGGGTCTGGAGACTGACCCCGAACCTGAGATTATTCTGGGAGAGGCGATCCCAGACGCAATCCCTCTCCGCCGCATGCAAGGGTCCAAAGCCCTGGTCTCTACCTGATGGGTAATAACCCATGGATACCGCCCGGTAGGTCGGACCAACTGGGAGGTACCAAATATAACGCCGCCTGACCTGGTCAACCCGGGCTCTCTGGCCGGGCTCTTGAAGGCATACAAAGGGGCCGGCCAGTGAACTGACCGGCTAGAAGATGAAAGACGTGCTTGACGCGCTTAGGATTGTTATAAATACCCCTAAAAGCCTCATTTGTGAGGCATGCTTGAATTAATCTGTACGGCTTGTATCTTGTAATAGTCCTATTATTATCAATAACAAACCGGGTTACAGGTGATTCCACCTACAGGCCTTCCGATCACTTATACTTAGTATTTGCATGGTAATTTACACCATCAAATTGGCGCCACCCGTGGGACCTATTACAAAAAGCCATGACGAGTAACCAAGAGATGGTCATTTCACAAATTTCTACTCCCGTTGAGAACGTTACATCGTTCCCGGGGGGAAGTGCCTTGCCTACCACACCGATTCCTACCCCTCTAATCACCATTCCAACATCCACCCCGTTCACCTCTCCTATAACTTCTGTCTCGGTGTTTCCTCCTAATTTTCTCGGGCCTATGGACCCAATGTACTCCCAAGCGTTCCAAAATTTTGGACAATTCATGTCCATGTTTCAGCAGCCGGGAGGGTTTTCCCCCTTCATCCCCGGATTATACCCCCAATCCACCCCACAAAATACTCCATTCCCGCAAACTAGCATTATCCGCCCGATTGTCCCGACAAATTTGGTCGGCGAAATGGATAAAGTAGGTCCGTCCCGATCAAGAAGGAGCCGTTCCCGAAGATCACATACCAAAATAACATCGGATGGGGATGTGCATTCGGTCCACAGCAAAGATGAGGACTGGGACCTTCCCCAGGAACAAAAGAAGTTGAAGGGAAAGGCAATCCAGCCTGAAGGATCCAGGAGATTAGCATTCCAGAGGCTGGGACATGACGGCAGGAACCAGAACCGGCTGGCCAAAGAATGACTAGGAGTGGAGACTACCCCGGTGAGTGCCTTTGACCGACTGGGGAGAGGGGCCGGGCGACCTAGTCGGACCATGCGAACGGAACCACCCCCTCGCGATGAGCCCCAGAACAGCCGGGCGCCCCAGGGAGAGGAGGAAGCAGAAAGCCACCCAAGGCACACGGTCCATACACACGTTGAGCAGCCCAGGGACCGTGTGGGCCGAGTGGGAGCACGTTTGGAAAAATAGCAGTGATGGGTAGACCGGGACGAGAAGAAGAAAATTTTGCTGAACGAATCTCCATTCACTGACCGGGTGCACGAAACCCCGTTCCCGAAAAAGGCAAAACTAGAAGTCCCAAAATACACCGGCAAGGAGGACCCGGAAATACACGTCAAAACCCTCCACCAAAGTGGGAGAATGATGGGTCTTTCTGGGGACGAAATGTGTTTGCTTTTCTTCCAAACCCTCCGCGGCCGAGCCGCCGAGTGGTTTCACAACCTCCCGGCCGGTGAAATTGATTCTTTTGATGAGCTGGCTGAGGTGTTTTGTAACGACCCGAAAACCAGCTTAGTAGTTAGTCATTATTTTAATGAAAATAAATATAATATTTATTTACTCTAAAATATGAATTATTTGTAAAGTTATCCGTTTTAAATGAAAATTAGGTTTTCGAGTAGATCTCGCAAAATGGTGACCAACGGTATATAATTCGTTAAATTTGGACATACATGTAAAGCGTACTGAGTAAAATAGACATTACAGTTCAATAAATAAATATAAATATTTTTATTAATATAATAATATACTCCCTCCGTCCTAAAACTTTCTTCCCGTTGGGCAAAACGAAGAAAAATCCCAAGTTTTTTCAATCTATTTTATTTAAATATTGGTATAGAAATATAAAATAAAACATACATATTTAAAAACTACATCAAAAGTTCAACAAAACAAGTGGTGACAAGAATATTTTATTTTATCATATATGCCATGAAAAAACACAAATAAATATAAATTCCTGTGAAGTTGGAATAGTGCTCTGGGAAGAAAGTTTTAGGACGGAGGGAGTACCTAATTTGTATTCCTAAGTCTATACGGAGTAAAAACCTTATTAAGCCCATTAGCGACATTATATATATGGAAGTATTGCGCACGATTCTGGAGAGGAGATCAGAGCACAGCCGTAGAACGGAACCGGAGCACGTCGCGATCGACGGCGGCCACCTGCACACCGACGCCACTGCTCCGTGGTCAAGTCACCGTTCGCCGACGTTTCGTTCATTTGATTTGATTGATTAACTTAATTCGTCTGTTAATCGAGATCAGAACTTGCACATCTAACGCTAGATTCTGTATATAGATTTGAAATTCACGTTCGTAGTTTCGTATGATTGATTACGTGGTTTATTTGTTATTAATTGAATTGTGATTTATTTATATCTTATGATAATATTGGAATTGATTGAACGAGGATGACCAAGTATGTATTCTTACTCTAAATTGTGTAGGTTTGCATGATAGTAATCTTTAAAAGCGTTGTATATATTGTATGGTTTGGAATTGGATCGGAATTTGTCGTTCCGCTGACTTCCCGACGTCAGACGGTAGCTAGGTACCGCCTAGCGGTACCGTGGTACCGCCACTGAAGTAGTGCCACTGTCGGTACTTGCGCCCGTTCGGTACAGGGGTACTGGACCGACGGTACCCAGGTACCGCCTGGCAGTACCGAGGTACCGTAAGGGGTACCGGACCGACGGTACCCAGGTACCGCCTGGCGGTACCGAGGTACCGTAAGGGGTACCGGACCGGCAGACCGTTTGATCGATTCTTCGTCTGTTTGCTCTGTATCAACTTCTGGATTGTTCTCTATGCCTTGTGTGTTGCATGACGATAAGTGGAAGGTGTTTACGCTGACACTAGGCCGCTAATTGAGTTATATGATTGATTAGCTGGTTAATGTTATATGTCTTGTTATAATTAAATATATTCTTGTTGTGTTTTAAAAGTAAATAAGGAATTGAGATTGATGTTAGAATGAGTCTGAATTGAAGAGATGTTGCAAATAAGTGATTAGGCTACCTAGGGGAACTCTAGGACTGCCTTAGTGAGATTGTAAGCATAAATGTCAATAGGTAGAATCAGCCCTGCGGATCTGATATCTGACGGCTGCAGGTTAAAACGTACGTACGGGGTCCAAGAACTGTCGTTTCGAAGGGGACAGGGGTACCACCCACCCAGCGGAGAACTCCTTCGTTGGTCATCAGGTTGTGTTGAGTCATAAGGTATTAAATAAGGTAGACTTGAGTCATGGCCCTAGGTAGTGGCTCTAAGTCTGAACATAAGGTTGTAAATAAGGAAGTATGGTCTTAGCCTTGTAATTATGTTATGAGCTATGAATGAAGACAGATAAGGTAATGAATTGTTACGTGTGAATTTATTTAATGACTGTTATGTGATATTATATTGTATACTTGTGTGCATGATATTGTATGAGATTATGAGCTAGTGGGTTCGTCTATGTGCGTAGTCGAAACGTTAGACCGTTCTCACTTAGCTCCAATGCTGAGCGTGTAGCCCTTTTTCCTATTTGCTACATGTAGGTAACATGAATGATGAATAAGAAACTATCCTGGATGGCAGCGAGGGCAGATATGTGGATGGATGCTAGCTGGAGGAGTTTACTATTTAATACTTAAGTTTGAATTATTTATGTTTTAAAGGGAAAGAACCCAAGGTTGTATTTTGAGTATGTATTTAAAGGCTTCCGTACCGTTTTGTTAACTCCGATGGATATTTAAATATTGTTTTGAATTAAATGTTTTAAATTGTTTTGAAAATTATTGTGCCTGAATACCAATTTAGTGACAACCCGGTTCGCTAACTCGTTGGTTCGGGTTATGCGGGTTGGGGTGTTACATTTCAGGAGAAGTTCAAAGAAAACTGTACCAAGAGGAAGAAATTTACCTACTTGCGTACGGCCGGGCAGAGGGAACACGAAGATTTGACCAAGTTCCTCACCCGGTGGAAGGATGAAGTGGACAAAGTGGAGGAGATGGACGACAAAACTGCAATGTCCCTCCTGGTCTCCGGGCTTCGTTCCGGACAATTATAAAAGGAATTCTGCCGGAGACCTCCCCAGTCTTACCAGGAGGCCTACAACACGGCCTGGGATTATGCTGACGCCGAAGCGCAGGTTTCTTCCAAAAGGGAAACCGAGCAGGGCCACTCCAAAGGGAGGATTTCCTTGAAAAAGGAAATCGAACTACCCGGCAGGGTAAAAGCAGAAGTCATGGAAGTGAAGCCGGCCAAGGAAGAGAAGAAACCAGCTAGGGAGAAACAGTGGACCGAGAAGTATTGCTCCTTCCACAAAACGGACTCCCATAACACTGCTGACTGCAATAGTGTTAAGGGGGTAATAAAGCAGATGATCGAGGCCGGAGAGCTTGATCCAGAGTATCTAGCTCATGCGAAGCAGAAGAAGAACCAGTGGATCCGGCCTAAAGGGCAACCGGCCGAACAAAACAAAAAGAAGAAAGCACCCAGTAAGGAGCACTTACACGTGATTTATGGCGGACCAGAAGGAGGAGATTTCGCTTCTCAAAGGAAGAAATGGGGGCGAGAGCTCTATATAGGGATAGTTGCCCAAGATCCCCAGAGGAAACAAACCAGACGGGAGCCGATCACTTTCACAGATCGAGATCTTCCCGCCACCGGGGAAGATCACAATGACCCCCTGGTCATAACCATGGATATGGGTGGAGTTGACGTCTCCCGGGTACTGGTTGACACGGGCAGTAGTGTCAACGTTTTGTACTTGGAGGCCTTTCAGAAACTCAAGCTGTGTTGGACACGGCTTGAACACTTAAAGACTCCCCTGTCCGGGTTCACCGGTGGTTCTTGTTGAAGCTGAGGGGTCAATCCTCTTAACATGCGAACTGGGCACCGGAGACAAAGTTATCCAAAAGTAGATGAGGTTCGTGGTGGTGAACATCAAATGTGTTCACAATGCGATCTTGGGCCAGCCTGGAATAAATAAAGTCCGTGGAATCATCTCTATGGCCCACCTCTGCATGAAGTTCTATACGCCGGGCGGTATAGGACAAGTCAGAGGGGATCAGAAGAAGGCCCGGTCTTGTTATCTTGAGGCTGTAAAAAAGATGAAAAAGGCGTTCGAGAGGGTTACTTTGGTTTCCCAGGAAGAAGACCGGTCAAAGTTGGAGCCGGGTGATGAAACCGAGCAGATTGTTCTTCGGGAAGCATTCCTAGAGAGAATGGTGAGAATTGGCCGGGACCTACCCAGAGGACTTCGAGAGGAAATCATCTCAGTCCTTCGGGAGTACGCTGACATATTCGCTTGGAGTGTGGCGGATATGCCGGGCATTGACCGTTTGGTTATATGCCACCGGTTGGCAGTGATGGAAGGTAGGCTGCCGGTAAAACAAAAGAAAATGCACTTAGCAAACGTCCGGAGGGAGTTTGTTAAGAAAGAAGTGAAGGATCTGTTGGCGGTCGGGCATATCAGAGAAGTTCAGTACCCGGCTTGGCTGGCCAACATCGTCCTAGCACCAAAGGGCGACACTTGGCGTATGTGCGTCGATTATACAGATCTCAACAAAGCATGCCCCATGGACTCATATCCGCTGCCCAGTCCTGACCAGATGGTTGATGAGACGGCCGGATGTGAATTGCTGAGCTTCATGGATGCTTTCAAAGGCTACCATCAAATCTTCATGGCGTAGGAGGATGAGGAAAAAACTTCCTTAACTCCCGAAGGCACATATTGTTACCGGGTGATGGCCTTTGGACTTAAGAACTTGGGCGCTACTTACCAAAGGATGGTGAACCGGCTTTTCAGGACACTCCTCGGTAAGTCGATGGAAGCTTATGTGGATGATATGCTGATCAAGAGCCAGGGAGCAACAAACCACCCGGCTGATATGAGGCTATGTTTTGAGATCATGGCAAAATACAACCTGCGCCGCAACCCCAAGAAATGCGTCTTCGCTGTAAAGACCGGCAAGTTCTTGGGGTTCATGGTAGCGAAGCGGGGCATGGAGCCAAAACCCTGAAAATATTAAGGCCATAATCGAGATGAGGTCGCCCGGTTCACTGAAAGACGTGCAACGACTTACCGGGCGGCTGGCAGCTTTGAGCCTTTTCCTTTCTTGATCAGCTGAAAGGGCCCTGCCCTTCTTCAAAGTCCTGAAGAAGACCAACACATTTGAATGGGACCAAGAGTGTGAAGAAGCTTTCGAGCAGCTAAAGGAGTACTTAGTTTCTGATATAGTTTTGTCTAAACCCAAGCCGGGTGAAACTTTGTACTTGTGTTTGGGCATATCCCAAAACGCTGTAAGCTCTGTTTTGATTAGAAATGAAGACGGCCAGAGGGCTATTTACTATGTGAGCAAAGCATTTAATGAGGTAGAAAGCCGGTACACTGCCATTGAAAAAACAGCATATGCACTTTTTATAACGGCCAAAAAACTGACCGCGTACATCCAAGCTCACGCTGTGGAAGTACTAATCGATCAGCCACTTGGACCGGTCCTCCGAAATTCAACCTCTTCAGGACGGATGATCAAGTGGGCAATGATGCTCACTCAGTTCAAGATCGAGTATAAACCTAGGACCGCAATCAAGGGCCAAGCCCTGGCCGACTTCCTGGTGGAACTGACCGGTCTGGAGCCTGAAGCCGGACCTTCCCATACGGTCGAACCATGGTGGGACATGGCCGTTGATGGGGCCTCTGGACCGAAAGGATGCGGAGCCGGCATAGCCTTTACTACTCCAGAAGGGTTCAAAATCTACCATGCCTTGGTTTTTAACTTCAAACTTACCAACAACGAAGCGGAGTATGAGGAATTGGCCGGTGGACTCAGATTAGCTCGGGCACTCAGGATCAAGAGAATGAAGATCCGGTCCGATTCAAGCCTGGTCGTCGGCCAGGTTAATGGCGAGATGAAAGTCAAAGAAAAACGTCTGGCCCGGTACAGTGACCTGGTCCGAGCTCTTTTGAGGGAATTGGAAGAGTTTCGTCTGACCAGGATACCCCGGTCGGAAAACACTGATGCTGGTATGCTTTCCAAGTTGATGCAAGCTTTCCCGGAGCATGTATCAAAGTTGGCCAAAATTGAAATATTGGACAACCCAAGCGCCGGCCGGTTGGAGGTTGCGGCCGTACAGCATGGTCAGAGCTCAGCCACCGGGGTGATTGAGGCGGATGATGACTGGAGATACGATATCATGGAATACTTGATGACTGGCCAAAAACCAGACGACGAAGAACGGGCCAGGAAGGTAGTCTTGCAGGCTCCCCAGTTTCAGGTACTGGACGGTCACTTATACAAGCGTGCTATTGGAGGACCTCTACTGCGTTGTCTTACCAACCCGAAGGCCGAACGGGTGATAAGCGAGGTACATGAGGGAGTTAGTGCTGCCCATCAGATGTCCCAAACACTGGCCCAGAGAATAATTCTGCTCGGTTACTATTGGCCAACCTTCGTTAGGGATTGTGAATGGTATGTGCAAAAATGTAGGACATGCCAAGTCTTTTACAAACATCCTGGCAGATCGGCTACATATTACCAACCAACCTCTAATGTCATACCCTTTGCCCAGTTTGAGATTGACATTATTGTGGCATTCCCGGTTGCACAAAGCGGGAAGAAGTTCGTGATGGTCGCCATAGGTTACTTCACAAAGTGGATACAGGCTGAGGCGATGGCTACCATAACCGTGCGGCAGTGTGAAAAATTCGTTTGGAAAAACATTATCACCCGGTTTGGGGCCCCAAAGATGATTGTCACCGGCCCACAGTTTCGCAACCCCTGGTTCACTGCGGATTTGGCTAATTTTGGGATCAAGCACAACAAGGCGTCAGTAGCATACCCCAAGGAAGTGGCCATGTTGAAAATGCTAACCGGACGATAGTGGACGGGCTAAAGAAGAGGTTGGGAGAAGAAGGGCGCAAATGGTTGGAAGCACTACCTCACACAATCTGGGCGCACAGAGTGACATCAAGAAGAGCTACCAGGGAGACTCCCTTCATGCTTACCTATGAATGTGAATCCCGGTTGCCAATCGAAGCAGAGTTCCCAACGTTTAGAGAGACCGTGTATCAGCCCGGTCAGAACGAGGCTGATCACTTGGCGGAACTGAATCTGGTGGAAGAGAGAAGAACGATGGCAGCTGTCAAGATGGCCGGTTATCATAAATCAGTAAAAAGATATCATGACAATCGGGTAGGTCCACGTTACTTCCAGGTGCATGATGAAGTCCTGCGAAGAAGGGATGCCGGTAAGCCCAATGAAAGAGGCAAGCTAGTGCGCAATTGGGAAGGACCCTATCGCATTAGGGCAATCATCCGACCGAGCACTTATCAACTGGAAACCATGGAAGGTGGACGAGTCGACCGGCATTGGAACTCTCACCACTTGCGTAAACTTTTTAGATAAAGTGTAATGAGTTCCCGGTCATGAATAAAACTTTGTTCTTTTCAGAAAGATTGTTCTTAACACCAACCGGTAATTGGTCAGTTACCAATTGGACCGGCTAGATGCTCAATCGAATTGAACATCTCAAAAAAAATGAGAGAAAGACCGGTCGAACCGATCAAACTCTTCATCCGTACTGACGCGGAATTAAGATGACATAACCAAAAAGGGAGAGCATCCTGGATTGGTTGGGTCAAATAATTGTAGAAAAAGGCAAGGCTTATCTTTCAACACAGGCGATAAGCCGATGTGAAAGACAAGCCGGCTTCGCTTACATCCGGGTAGAAAATCATCCTTCCGAAAGGGATGAGGTACATTGCGATCACGGGTCAGAAAACCTACCAGGAAGAGGTCGGCCAGATTCAATCTCTTCCCGGCCACCCAGTTAGTCTTTCTAAAGGGCTTCGATATACTTTGAATTAGACTGGGTAATTACAGCCGGGCTGTAACAAAGTAATCTACCCGGTTGAAAATTTAAAGTTGAACTCTTTATTTCATACATGAGCACAAATAAGGTATTCAAGCACTCAGCACAAAATATAGAAAAAATAACTTTCATTAAAATACTGAAGCGTCTTACAAAAAGTTCTCGGAGGCAAACCATTACATATGGAAATAAAAAAAAAGAAAGAAGAAGCGAAAGGGCTTGGAGCTCAGATGGAAAAGGATGGGCGGCCTGGCCATCCTTTCGGCAGGCCACCATCATACCCTCCAGCCGGGCCTTCTCTTCCTCCCTTGATTTCACTAGCCGGGTGAAATACTCTTCGTCGATCCGGCCAACCTACTTCAAAGGGATCAAGATTTTTCAGAAAAGCAGAGTTGAGATACAATGAAATAGACAGAGAAAAGGTTTGGGGGTTACCTCTTGTAGATCACACCGGAAGGCGTGGAAGAGTTCTTCATCCGACCGGACCATTAGAGCGAAAGACCGGGGCTCCCCGGGCCCTTTGCCGGCGTCGGAGGACTGGGCCGGCTGGTCCACGACTTCTGTCCTCCGCCTCTTCCTTTGGAGGGCCTCCTCGTCAGCCTCCTCTTTGCCGTGGCCTCCCTTAGCTTGCTGGCCAACCTGACCGGCCTCCGATGTATGCCCGGTCTCCATCATCAGCGTATCAAACTCCATGGTGTCTGCGTTGATGTAGAGCTCCTCGGAGTGGACGGGCTGGCTGGTGCCCTGGTGAGATTGGGCCGGCTGCTCATCCAAAGAGAACGGCTGGCCGGAGGGCTGGCTAAGGGGCAGGACATTAGAAGGCTCCTCAGTGATGAGTGGGTGGCGAATTTGAAGTTGAATTTCACCACTACAAAAAACAAAAAGAAATAGACCGGTTAGTGAAAGGCAGTTGCAAAAAATAAGATAAAATGACTTGTAAAATAAGGAGAAGTGGGATTGGACCTTTCTCCTTCTTCTTCCCCCGGCGTGAGGAACCGGCTGTAGCAGAGACCGGGGCCTTCGACCCTTTCACCCGGCGGAGGGGGATGGCATTCGGAATCGCCTCGGCCAGAACGATTTCTGGCTCGGGATCAGTCTTCTAACCAGGGTAGACCCCCCACTTCCCG